GTGAAGAAATCTGTTATGCTTTGCTGACGGCTGGCGTTGATGTTGTCGTGATACACCTTGATGTACGGCTCCATAGCCTGCACCAGCCGGGTATGGAAGACTTCATAGCGGTCATCGTCATTGTCGCGGGAAAGGAAGGACTTCATCTTCTCTGCACACTCCATGGCACCCTTAATATCACTATGACTTAAATTGTGTTCTTCGGAGACTGACGCACCTTCTTCCTCCTCTTCACTGACGTGTTCTTCTTCCAACATCTCGTCGGCAGTCACTTCAGGATCTCTGATCACCTCCAGGATGTCGTCGTTGGTGGTCTCGGAGAAGCCTGGAACTGTAACAGTCTGCGCAGCTTCTCTGGCAAGGTCCACTGCTACTGCAACATTCTGAACCTCACCAGTCACAGATTGACTCCTCCTCTCACCTGGTATTCCATGCAACACATGTCTCCATGCGTGACGAATTGTAGCAATAGACAGCTGATCCCATGACTCCACCAAGAAGTCCACAGCTTTCTTGATGTTAAATACTCTCCAGAATTGTTTGAAGAGTATTTTTTGCTGTTCTAACTGTTGATCCTCATCTTCTTCGCTCTTGCTATCGGTGGTGGTGTCACTCAGGTTACGCAACTCTTCCCTGGTGTTGGTGTAGTCGTTCAGGAGCTGGAATTTTTTTGTTGAGAATGCAGCTTTCACACTGCAAATCAACTCCTGGTCCATGGGCTGGATTAAAGACGTAGTGTTGGGAGGAAGGAAGACCACTTTTACGTTGGGGTGACGATCTAACAGTAGGGGCGAGTGTCCTGGTGCGTTGTCCAGCAGCAACAAAATATTAAATGGGACATTCTGTCGCTCACAGAATTTCTTTACATCGGGAACAAAACAGTTATCAAACCAGGAGAGGGACAGTGTAGAGAACATCCATGCCTTACGTGCGGTCAGCCAGTGGATATTTAGCTTGGTCATGTCCATGGTTTTGTAGGCGTGCGGCTTGCGGGCTGTGTGGATCAACGATAACTTGAGCTTACAGGTACCGGAGGCATTGGTGGTAAACAGGACGGTGATGCGTTCCTTCTGCATTTTCCGGCCCCGAATCCTTCTGGCATTCTTCACAACGAAGGACTTGGAAGGTAGCTTTTTCCAGAAAAGACCAGATTCGTCCATGTTAAACACCTGGTCGTCACTGTACTGTCCTTCCTCCATAATCTCACGTAAAAACGGAGGAAATTCCTGAGCCGCAGCACGATCAGCACTTGCTTCTTCACCACCAATGTTTATATTGGTGATCTTGTTCCGGATCTTAAACCTCTGTAACCACCCAGAGGAAGCATTAAAGGGTTTGGGCTCTGAAGTTCCCATCTTTCGTGCCACTGCCATGTACAGTTCACGTGCGTAGTCCTTAACAGAGTGCGTGTCGACCGCCATGTTCCGTCGCACCTGACGCACCAAGTACCTCACAAGTAATTTTTCTGTCTTGAGAAGCACCTGGTTGTGAAAATACTTGATCATAGAAGCACCTGTAGACTTTGTGATCTTCATGTGCTCCTTTATCTTGGCTGAATCCTTCTTTATAGTCCGGATCGTAGATTCGTTCACGCCATGCTGGCGCGCCAAATCAACCTGCCTTGTTCCTTTCTCCAACTCTTGGATGATGCTATACTTCACCTCGTAGCTTAAGGAACGTCGTGTCTTCTTTGGTTTAGTGCCGCTGGGTCCAGGTAAGGAAAGGTTTCTCTCTGGGGGTGGTGGTCCGGCGGAAGCCATTTTACGGAACAATGGATGCGCGTTTACACGGAGTGGCCTTGAGGGATGAAACTGCCGCGGCTAGGTCAAGCGTCGTCTTTCCTCCCTCCCTCCCTCCCCCGGGTGGACACGTCATAATACTTTAAGCCAATTACAGCTAGCAGCAGAGGGGGGGTAGGGATGCATGGCCAATCACAGGTCTGATACGTCATATGACGTCAGTGATAACGCAACAAAGACACACACTGCGCAACCTTACCGCGCCGCTTGCCCAAGCGGAGGGAGGAGGAGGGAGAGGCAGGCGGGCGGGTGGCGGGTGGGGCGAATCTAAAAATAGCGTCGCCCCGGACACTCTCCGCGTAATGGGGTTCACGTACCGCGTAATGTGAGCACGTGAGGTTCTGGCAAGGCACCGCGTTAACGTGGAAACGCGGAATGCGGGACCGCGTAAAGTGAGGGTTAACTGTACATAGATTTTGCCAAGGCTTTCGACAGTGTACCCCATGAAAGGCTGTAAATTAAACTGGAAGGGTATGGAATTTGGGGAAATGTCCTAGCTTGGATAGAAGACTTTCAATATGACAGCAAGCAGTATGCGGTGATTAATGGCGCGAAATCATCATGTGTACCCGTCACAAGCGGGGTACCACAGGCCAGTGTATTGGGCATGCTGTTGTTTGTTTGCTTCATAAATGACGTGCCTGACGCTGTACATTCCTCCATACAAATATTTGTGGATGACGCTAAGTTATTTTGGGAAATTAAGAACCAAGCGGACTGTGAAGAGCTGCAGAAGGATCTCTGTGAGCTCCAAGAATGGTCGAAGAAATGGCTGCTAAGATTCAATGTCATGGAGTGTAAGAAGATGTACCTGGGGCATACCAACAGCAAGGAGGCGTATCATTTGTCCCAATGGGATAATGAAACTGCACTATTTGAGACTGAATATGAGAAGGACCTAGGTGTGTATGTTGATAATGAGCTGAAGTTCTCGGGCCATTATGAGAAGAAGGTAAATCAGGTAAATAAATTATTAGGTCTTATAAGAAGGTCGTAACGACCTTCATGAGTGAAGTGCTTCCCTATCTGGAGTACTGTCACCCCACCTGGTCCCCGAGATATGCTAGGGACTGTCAGTTGATTGATAATGTCCAAAGGAGGGACACCAGACTGGTGCCTGCACTACGGCACCTCAGCTACCCTGAAAGATTGGAGCGCCTGAACTTGCCTAACTTACACTACAGATGGGCAAGGGGGGAACTAATTAAAGTGTATAAGCATTGAGTGTCCTTACCTGGAGCTGGCAAATGCTTGACACACTGGGGGTCACAGCTTAAGGTTGAAGAAGTCACAAGCCGAAAAAACTGTGAGGGGTAACTTTTTTGGAGTGAAAGTTGTGAACTCTTGGAGCAATCTGCCAGAGAGTGTTGTGATGGCACCGAGTGTGAACTCTTTCAAGACCAGACTTGACCAACACTGGAACAGGTTCAGGTACATTCAGGATCCAGTGCATGACCAGTACTTGCCAACAGTGCATAATAGAGACGAGACCGATCACCCAAGCAGCTAACGAGCCGATCAGTGGTGAAGAGTATAAAAGTAAAAAGTAAAGTAATCACAAGAACCACAGTTACTAGTCTAATAGCTGATATGCTGAAATTAGGTAATTAGAATAAATCAACTAAATAAATTTATTTTACATATCATATTACTACAAAACAGTCCAAACAATTTAATCAGAATATAATATATACAATACACCTCCAATGAAATCACCAATACCCAATTCACTGGAACTCTCCTTAACCCCAATTCATCTCGACTAAGGATTCATGACACCTCCCCCTTTAAGACAAAATTTATACAAGGATAAATCTTGAAAATGAAATAAGCATAAGGGACAGTGTGTCTGCAATTCCAATTATCTTTTCCTTTTATATGTTTAATAACAAGCTTGTAAGGCAAGGGACCATCTTACTAGTCTTTGGTTACTATTTTTCAATTTATCTAAAAGAACATAGCGGATTATGATCACTGTAAACTGTATGATATTGACACAAAGTAGTACCTTAAGCTGTGTATTATTATATTACTCTTATATTACTCCATTAATTATGTATAGTAAAGTATTACAGAACATATATTAATTCTATGTAATATTCCCATTTATTGTGTACCATATTATGTATATAAATTATCATATTTATACTTTATGTATTCAGCTTGTGAATGCTGGCATCTGTACATCCCAGAGCGCAGTAATACATAGAGAGAGAGAGAAGACAGAGTCTTCGTGGTGTGGAAACGCGAGCTCCTGGGTCCTACTGTATATATATCTCCCGTACGAGAATAGAACCTACTTTTAAGGCAACAAGTGCTTGTGTATACCCTCAGTAGTATAGAACATTTTGTGGGTATCCAAGACACACGTCAGATAAACAACAAGTTTTTCATAAAAATTAGGCAACTGCAATACTGGAGCACTAATTAGACAAGCACAGATATTTTCATAAGCAGCTTGGCATTCAGTGGTTCACAGAAACAACTTCTTTGGGCTTAGCAGATAAGTGAGAGGGACTGCAATATAACCAAAATCAGAACAGAAACGTCTGTAACATCCAGTCATGTCCAAGAACCTCATAACGGCTTTGCGATCCCAAGGAATCTGGAGGTTACAGATGGCTTCAACCTTTGCTGACACTGGAGTGATGCGTACTTGTCCAATCTCATGCTCCAAGAAAATAACATATGCTTTGCCCAACTCACTTTCACCAGATTAACAGTCAATCCAGCACCAGTCAGGTGGGTAAACAAGTCTCAAATTCTGAAAATGTGCTCCTCTTAGGTTGTGCTGTGAACCACCAGGCCACCCAAATATGCTTGAATGCCCGACAACCCATGGATCACTCTGTAGCTGGTGCATTTTCATTCGAAAAGGAAGGATTTTATAGTTGTATAGCCCGTCTGGTGTTGTAAAGGCAGATATCCTCTTTGCTTTGTCAGTAAGTCGTGTCTGGTAATAACCTTTCAGTAAATCAAGCTTGGTCACATACTCGGCATTCCCTTTGGTGTCGATGAGGCCATTAATATGTGGCAGTGGGTAACATTCTCCCTGGGTCACTTTATTGATCTTCCAATAGTCTGTGCACATTCACCATGACCCATCTGGCTTTGGTACCTACAGACACAGAGAAGACCCTTCACTGTCACCAAGTTCAAGTTGTGCTGCAGTAGAAAGTCAACCTCCTTCTTCAGACTTACTTTCTTGCTGGGACTCATTCGATAAGGAGTTTGTTTGGTGGGTGCCGGATCTCCCACCTGGACGACATTAAGTTCCACCAGACTGCAAGGTTGTGGAACATCACTGAACAGGTGTTGATAGTCCCCAAGTAGCTGCTCCATCTCTTCAATCTGGACCAGTCACAAAGGCTGCAATTTTATGTGGATATTAGCCAAAATACTTGAGTCAATCATCTTTGCTTTGGTTGTTCTAGAATGTCATTACAGTCTTCCTCACTGGGTTCCATAAAGCAAACAAGGTTAACAACAGTGATAATGTTACCTCTAATTCATAACCTTTAAGTAAGTTCACATGAACAAGTCTCTCAGGTTTGCTGCATCCTGGTGTCTTAAGATTTTTTACATCATTAACCTTGAATAAAACTTTGTATGGTCCATGAAACTTTGACTCTAATGCATGTTTATGAATTGGCAAAAAAAAAACAAGATCACCAGGCATAAATTCTCTAACTTGAATCTGTAAGTCATATGTGTCTTTCATTCTTTTCTGAGCTTCCTTCAAATTCTCCCTTGGCAACTCACAAGCTGAGTGAAGTCTCTCTGAGTAAGTTCAGTGTCAATCCATGAATATTTTAAGACCTTAAGAGTTCCCCTGACTTGGTGTCCATACACAAGTTGGGGTGAAGCCACGGACTCTTGTTTTCTATCTGATTGTAAATAATAAAATTTGGATTCCCTCTTCCTAGTCTCTATCATTCTCGATATACAATATTTCATTATCGTGGTTTTTGGAAATGTTCGGGGTACTTGGTTCTAACTACAGGAGCGAACATAAACACCTGTAGAGTTCTGTAGGTTCTATTCAACGGAAATATACAAGGGTACATTTACAAGCACAGGTAGTCCTTACACTCCTATATGGGTCAACTGACCTCTCTCTGACCTCTCAGGCGACATGTGGTAAGTGGTACATTAGCAGCTTCCAGATGTCACCAGGCACATTTATCTAGGCGTGTGGTGACATGAAACAGGGGCATTGCCACACGCTACTGACTAGAGAAGTAATGTATATATATATAGAGTACAGTTAACCCTCACTTTACGCGGTTAATGTAACCCGGAGGGTCCCGCGTAAAGTGAGAAACGCGTAAAGTGAATAACATAACATATGGGATTAATTGAAATGGAGTCTGGGCCGATCCCCAAACTCCACTTTTTGACGACACACAACTATGTTGTAGTAAAAATATTATCTTAACTTTATGATGGTATGCACACACTTAATAATTAAGAGAAATATCAATAATATTAGGTTTTTTAACACTTACATTAGTAGAAAAAATGGCTGGGCACACGGGGATGGGCGGTTGGTTCCGAGGCAGAGGGCAGATTATTGGCCCTCACCTGTGTCACTTGTATCAATTGTATCACTATCCACCACAGAGGCTTGCAAGGCCTCTTTGTCAAACTCCCCAAAGTCCATATAAGTCCATATCCTCACCATAATTATCACTATCACTGACTTGGGCCGGCTGTGGTGGGTGGCGGGTGAAGAACTGGTAATGTTTTGATGACTGGGCGACCTTGTTCGCGCAGCTTACACAACATGGCGGATGGCGGGAGGTTTGGACCCAAAAATGGCGCGGCTCGCCAGCCGCTCTCCGCGTAAAGGGGTACACGCACCGCGGAATGTGAGCATCCTGGGTTCCGGCAGGGCACCGCGTAAACGTGGAAACGCGGAATGTGGGACCGCGTAAAGTGAGGGTTAACTGTACATACATGGTATACATACAGCTTTTAGAGTCTGGTGAAACCTCTCAAATGCCCCTTGAGACTCCGGATAATATGCCATTGCTAGGTACTGATGAACTCCCATCTTCTTCATTACTTGCTTGAATAGCCCTGAGGTGAAATTTGAACCCTGGTCACACTGGACTACCTTTGGAACTCCATATTGGATGAAAAATGTAATCAGTGCATTCAAAACTTTCTTTGCACTGTAGTTATGCATTGTCATGCATCGTAAAGGAATAACTTGAGGATACCAAGTAGTGCTACACATCATTGTGAAAAGAAATTGGTTACCTTTTTAAGTTGTAGGAAGGGTCCCTACTGGAATTGGCTTTAATGGTGCAGGCTTAATGGTCTGATTTGGTTTTCCTGCTAGTTGACATTCATGACAAGTTCTACAATATTTACCTACATCACGTTGTACCTTTGGCCAGTAGAAATGTTGAAGGATTTTGTGAAAGGTCTTATTTACTCCAAGATATCCACCACTATAGTCATGTGCAAGGGCTAATATAGTTGATATAAGTTTAGTAGGAACGAAAATCTGATGTGTCTCTGACCAAACTTCATTGGCAGGAACATGAGGAGGTCTGTACTTGTGCATTAGAATATCTGACTTGAGGTAATGTCAAGTAGGGAGTTTAGACATGTCCGATTCGTCTACAGACTTGTTGTAGAATGTGCGGAACTCAATGTCCTCCATTTGAGCTTTCATCAGTGCATCAGTAGTGATTGGAACATTATTATGTGTTTCTAAACTTGTAGGCTCTGTAGATTGATCACTGTCATCTTTAGCAATGTACAAATCATTAACATGTAAATCATCAAAACCATCAAGGGAATAAGCTTTGATTTTGTTCATGCTTATGGTGACTGCACAGGTAGGAAATAAATTAGGAAGTTTCTCTTCTAACTGCTGTGGGATTATGAGGCAAAGAAATAGGAGACACACCTGGTTATGGTACCACTTTAGAACCAGCAAGGTCATTTCCTAACAAAAATGTAACTCCCAGAACTGGGAGAAAGTATTTTACTTCAACAATGACATAGCCTGAAACCAAATCTGACCTTAAAAAATCTTAATAAGGGAAATGTCTGTAGCAGAAATTCCACCCACACCCTCAGCGAGTACACTTTGACCAGTAAGGACATCATCCAAACAAGGAACTGACCCTCTCACAATGCTAACAGAAGCTGTAGTGTCTAAGAATTTTAACAAGGTTCTGAGCAGAAGATTCATTAGAAGAAATAGACCCCTTAAAAATAAATAGTTTAAAAGTATCATCTTTCCTAGCTTTGTAAGACTTACTTTTTACTTTTATCCTCTTCACCAAATGATCGGCTCGTTAGCCGCTTGGGCGATCGGTCACGTCTCTGATACGCACTGTTGGCAAGTACTGAGCATGCACCAGCTCCTGAATGTACCTGAACCTGCTCCAGTGTTGGTCAAGTCTTGTCTTGAAAGAGCTCACACTCGGTGCTGTCAAAACACTTTCTGGCAGACTGTTCCAAGAGTTCACAATTCTAACTCCGAAAAAGTTTGCCCTCACAGTTTTCTGGACTTGCGGCTTCTTCAATCTTTAGCGAGCGTCCGCCAGCTCCAAGTAAGAACACTCGACAGACCCTTGAGATGTGTATACACCTCAATTAGGTCACCCCTTGCCTGTCTGTAGTATAAGCTTGGCAAGTTCAGGTGCTCCAATCTCTCAGGGTAGCTGAGGTGCGGAAGTGCAGGCACCAGTCTGGTGGCCCTCCTTTGAATATTTTCAGCCAACTGACAGTCCCTAGCATATCTCGGGGACAAGACGGGGTGACAGTCCTCCAGATGGGCAAGCACTTCATTCTTGAAGATCGTTACGAGAGACGGACCATCTAGATATCTGAACGACCTTCTTATAAGACCCAAAAATTTATTTGCCTGATTTACCTACTACTCGCAATGGCCCGAGAACTTCAGCTCATTGTCAACATACACACCTAGGTCTTTCTCACATTCAGTCTCAAATAGTGCAGTTTCTTCATCCTATTGGGACATATGATACGCATCCTTAACATTGGTACGTCCCAGGTACATCCTCTTACACTTCGTGACATTGAATCTCAGCAGCCATTTCTTCGACCATTCTTGGAGCCCACAGAGGTCCTTCTGCAGCTCTTCACAGTCCGCTTGGTTCTTGATTTCCCGAAATAACTTGGCATCATCGGCAAACATTTGTATGGAGGAGTGTACAACGTCAGGCATGACATTTATGAAACAAACAAACAACAGCAGGCCCAATACACTGGCCTGTGGTACCCCGCTTGTGACAGGTACGGATGATGATTTCGTGCCATTAATCACCACACACAGTTTGCGGTCATGTAGAAAGTCTTCTATCCACGCTAGGACATTTCTCCGAATTCCGTACCCTTCCAGTTTGATTTTCAGCCTTTCGTGGGGTGCACTGTCAAAAACCTTGGCAAAATCTAGGTAAATATTGTCGATATTACCACCCCGTTCCAGAATATGGGTCCAGATATCCTATACCTTGAGCAATTGTGTTAAGCAGGAGCGCCCTGCCATAAAACCGTGTTGGCAATCCTTTACAAGATTGTTTCGTATTAGATGTTCCATTGCGGCATCTCTGATAATACTCTCAAGTACTTTACATATTATTACAGTTGTACCCCTCTTAACACGGTCAATTGAACCCACAGGGTACCGCGTTAAGTGAAAACTGCGTTAAGTGAACAACAGAACATATGGGATTAATTCCAATAGAGACTGGCCCGACCCCCAAACTTCACTTTTTGACGTCACACAACTATGTTGTAGTAAAAATATTATCTTAACTTTATGATGGTATGCACACACAATTAATAATTAAGAGAAATATCAATAATATTAGGTTTTTTAACACTTACATTTGTAGAAAAGATGGCTGGGCACACGGGGATGGGGGGTTGGTTCCGAGGCAGAGGGCAGATTATTGGCCCTCACCTGTATCACTTGTATCAATTGTATCACTTACCACAGAGGCTTGCAGGGCCTCTTTGTCAAACCCCTCAAAGTCCATATAAGTCCATATCCTCACTATAATTATCACTATCACTGACTTGGGCCGGTTGTGGTGGGTGGCGGGTGAAGAACTCGGTTAATGTTTGGATGACTGGGCGACCTTGTGCGCATCGTGCCCGCGCCGCTTCCCGCGTATATGAGTAGATGAACCGCGTAAAGTGAAAGTCCGGTTCTGGCGAGGCACCGCGTATATGAGAAATCGCGTTAAGTGAAACCGCGTTAAGCGGGGTACAACTGTGTATACCGTATATCACGGCCTATAAGACGAAATTTGAACATTAAAAAAATCTGCCCAAAGTTAGGGGGTCGTCTAAACCACCAAGTTTAAAATTCTTACCTC